ATGCATGCGTAAGTACGCGCGTGGTTTGCTCTGTTACATGATTAACAAGTGTATACTGATCGATTTATATCGATTTATATCGTTACCCGGCCCGCCGAGTATGGCTGTCTGTAAAACGAGATTGTTAATATTTATAGAGATACGTCGTTATCGCAAAAAAAAAAAATACATCGACATAACATTCAAGTTTCAAATCTCTCCTCCTCTGCTGGATTATCTTGCCACGTTAATTAATCCGCGTGCGTATTTACGGTCGTATAGATGATCGCGAAACGTTAACGACTTGCAATGATCGTAATAAATATAATCGATGACTGACTGCAACATTCGATCGAGAATCAGTCCTCATACTTTCTTTCGTACATAAGACAAATTTTAGAGCGAAGATGTACAGAATGAGAAAGAGAGATACTTGGGATCACAAAGGTATCTACGCGTGCGATCTGTCTCCTCTCAAGTTTGACGGATCATCCTTAAGACACACGCTAATCGTTCGAGATGCGAATTTTCGCGTCTCAATTATATGTAGAAAAAAAAAAAGGAAAAAAGCAACGTTTGCTCGCGAGGGACGTGCGTCAACGAGATCCTGAGAAAATTGTAACCGCGAGTTTGCGAATCGCGCGACACATGGTATTAACCCGTTGGCTCCTCCAACGCGTGTTCTCGAAGTAACTATTTTTTAGGGAGAGAGGCGGAGAGGAGGGAAGGGAGGTGCGGCGAGGAGAGGGGAAGAAGCGTATTTGTTTAATGTACTTAACGATATTTACAAAGACCTCGTCAGAGTTTGGTTCGAGCGAACGAGAAAAGGAACATTTTAACGAACAATTGCTCGAGAAACGCAGCTCGGAAGAGATACACAGGACCATTACTATTATTATATTATTATTATTCTTATTATTATATTATTATTATTATTATTATGCAACAATCGCAACGTACAATGCACCGGCGCCAGCCGGTGACTCGCAACAACCTCGCTGCGTCGGAAGTGTGTGGAATTATGAGGAACACCCGTAATATACGAACAATCGCCAACCGGGTTAATACCGTCGTGTTTTAATGCGACGTCGAGAATCCGATTTCTCCAGGGTGAGCTCGCGGATTCGAGTCGCCATCGAATCCCACGATCGAACGACGAAACGCGTCATCGCTCGACGTTGCACCGACAAAGCCCGGTTGCATCTCGATCGAATCGAATGACGCGGGATGGAAATAGAGAGCTCTGACACGTTCCCTTACACGTCCGGAAGAAATCGACGGATCAATCGCGACGATTGCTTTCTTCCTTATTAATCTTGTTTATTAAGTTTCTCTTCCTTTTTTCTTCCAGGAACACAATTGAGGACTCGTCCTCACCGATCCGAGATGCAACCGGGCTCGGGGATTAGAGCAAACCAGGACTCGCCCGCACTTTGCGTCTTCATATAATCTCAACAATATCGCCTATAATATCCAAGGACGCGTGTGCGGACGACGATTACATATCGATACATATATATCATCGGTTTCTTTGGTTTTCCTTTTCTTCCTTATTAAAGTGAGAAGAAGGTGAAGAAGGTGAAAGCACGCTGATCTTAGAACTTTCCAGCAGCTCTAGCGGATTTACAAGGCTCGAAAAACGGTGAGAGAATTATTCGCTTATAAATAAATTCTTAGTATGTATCTATGTAAATATATATATATGTATATCGACACACACGGATAAGAATATAAACTCTGTAGCGCGAAACAGTCTGTTCGACACCGTTTCTCGCGATCGTGTCAGCTGTGCGATTCGTTGCGGGAAAGCCTCGATCTTAACTTTAACAGCGGATCCCTCTTTCGATCGATCTGGAGTATATTTTTTTCTCGCGGATTAGAAACAGCTAAAATTCTCGACAAATCATGTTGACAAGCGATTAATTATAAACATAAATTAATAATTTGCGAAATAAATAATCTTACTTCTTATAAATTAGTTGTGAGATTTATAAGAAATAAAATTCACTTTTTCTCAGAGTTTCAATCCGAGATTTAACAATCTAGATAAAATGTATATTTATAGAATATATATAATCACGAGAATGATCGATTCTATCTGTTCATCTCGCTGATAAATTTAAAATCGAAGATCCCGGGAAACATTTTGCACATTCCCTCTCAGCCAGGATCGTCCCGTGAAACGACCCTCGAGCTATAAGTCGTTCGTTTTCGTTAGTTGAATCGCGTTAAGACATAATTGTCGGAGGTACAGCCACGCAATACATTTTTTTTAATACACTGCGCGAGAGAAATGCGTTTTCAAGTACATAGATAATATATAAGAATCGCGTTAACGGCGCATAAAAGTATTCTCGATGCTCCTCTCAGTTAATAAGGGACGGGATGACTCGCGCGATATTTTGCCAATGTTGAGCGAAAAAGGGAACAGAAACGAAGTCGAAAATGGCAAGATGATGTGAATAATGACGATAAAAGTATACATGTGTGTGCGCGTGTGTATATATTATATTTGTGTGTGTGTGTGTGTGTGTGACAATTTCTTTTCGATGACAATCGATCATCGTCTGTCCTCTTTCTCTTTTCGAAAACACAAAATTGTTATTTGATCTTGGACTAAAATAGAAAGAAAGAAATTGAATTAGAATTAGATAATTCAATCATGTTTATATTAAAGGTGGAACTTACGCAGTAAAATCGTTTGCAACTTGATTCTTTTTAATAAAGGATTTTAGATATTTGTGTTGGATTTGGATTAGCTTTTTCAGTAAAAGAAAAATCAGGTATCGTGGAAATCCGCAAAATTACGAAAATCATTCAAAAGTTAATTTTATCCTCGAGGATCTACTTTATTGAATCGCGATCTCGGAACCGCATTCTCGTTCCTTTTGTGCATATTTAAGCGCTCAATAAAAGAGAGAACAATTATTCGCGGTTCTATGAAAATCACAAAAATTGAAAAAAATGATGATGATGATGGCAAGTTAAATTAGAACGAGATGATGTAACGTCATGACAACGGTAAGTACCAACAAAAATGAAGGATGACAATGCATGTGTACGCCTGTAATTACATGTGTTTGTACGTGCTTGTTTGTATATGAATGTGTGTTCGTGTGCGTGCGTGTAACACAAAGGTATACGTAACAACAGCGCGTCTTTATTATTTGGCAGTGTAAGGCATATAGAGTGCTTAAGACTAGAATAAGGTGCAGTAAATAGGCCTCTTAAAGCCTGTTTCAAACGAAGTCCTATCATGTGTGTATATATATATATATATATATATATATATATATATATATATATGTATATATGTGTGTGTATGTGTGTGTGTGTATTATACGGACCTAAAAGAGAGAGAACTCTCTTTGCTTTATTTATACTCTTTTTTTTCTTTTCCATCGTTAATCTTCATAATGTAACCGATGACGGGGTGTAATAAGTTGACTTACTTAGGTACTTCGAAGACTCGAAAATGTTTTCCTCCTCTTTTTTTTTTTACTTACATACTTTTTACTTAACACACTTCTCTCTGCACGTATTCTTTCTTCTTATCATTTTTTCTCTTCTCTGTTACTCGATGTGTTTTTCTTCCCTCGCTCTCTCTCTTTTTTTCACTCTCTCTTCTCTCTCTCTCTCTCTCTCTCTCGAAAAGGGCGATTGAAAAACAAACATAAACTAAAACTACGAAATACGAGCTACTGACTTCATGGAGATGTGACTTCGTACATACATTACACGCTATTCTCTATTATTTGGCAGCGGTCTTGCACTTAAGAACGTAAAACTTATACGACGAAGTATATATAATAAACCTATATTGCCAACGTTTACGTCGAGATCCGATGGGCGATGGCGTTTCTCGATTATAATCGGGTAATCGAACATTCGCGAAATCCTATATTCCCCCTCTCTTTGCCTTTTCTTTTTTTCACCCATTTTCCTTCTCCTTTCCTTTTGTTCTCTTTCTCCCGAACAGCCGTGAGAAGAAGCACATTTCGTCGCAATTGCGAGAGATATGGATATCTCTCTAGTGTATGGTGTGATATTTATACATATATAATTATATTTATTCATATATATATATATATATATATATATATATATATATATGTCTTTCTTTATATATATATATATATATATATATATATATATTTACGCGTTTCATAATGTTACGTGAAATCGATAGGTCCTGAGAATAACATCGTAGTCACAGGATGAACGGAAATCTTGTTTCGTTTTCTTCCTTTTTTCTCCGGCGTATCCAGGAGAGGATAAAACTACCCCCGTTTCGTTAAGTTGCTTTAAGTCCCTCGGCGATGAAGCGATTGTAACGAGTCGTCGGTTAAATGTGATCTTCTCCTCGATCGTAAATATTATCACCCTCTTGTGTGTGTCCGTTCCTCCATTTTTTCCTCTGCATGTACAAGCGCGATTTTCATGTGACTGTCTCCATCTTCGACTTTTTTCCTAGCTCGCTTAAAATATATATATATATATATATATATATATATATATGTTATGTATATATATATATATATTGCCGAAGCATGTGCGACAGCGCATGTGATTACGCTTTTACTGTCAGGATTCCCATATCGATTTAAGCGTAATAATGGCAATGTCGTGGCGATCGATTCCGTAATCTGGCAAAGAAGAAGAATCGGTGCGACTTTATGTAATATTTCTCTAATTTTCTCCTCGCTCTTCTCACCCATTTCCACTTTTCCAGAGTTATCTCTTTCGCTTCTTCTCGATATATATCGCAACATGGTGTGATACGCTACGAAACAATTTACATTTATAGACATCTGCTTTTCGCCTTTGTCCTTCTTCCTCAAATTCTTTTCTCTCAGTAAGGCACCCCCAGTGCAGAGTATATTCACGGAAGTATTAGAGTAATACAAACTAGTGACTAGATCATTCTTAAGTCAAAAGCGCCAGAGAGAGATTGGGAGAGCGACAAAGGAAAAGAGAAAGAATCGCGCGAAGAGAGAGAAAAAGATAGTTTCTCAAAAAGAGAGAAAAGAAAAAAAAAGAATAATCATTGGAAAGATAACGGTACGATCGATACGAAAGAATAGAGAAAGAGAGCAAGAAAGACAGATAGAGATGAAGAGAGAAGCGCGGAGCGAGAGAAGAGGGAGAGAGAATGTCGCGCGGCGAAGAAGAAAGAAGGCGACTAGAGAGAGCCGGAGGAAGAAACGGCGAAGGGATGAAGGTAAAAAAAAAGAAAGAAAGAAGTCGACAAGTGATTCTACAAGTAATTCAAGATGCAAGCTGTACGCGCTATAAAAACTCAAAATCTTTCCCTTTTTCCTCCTCTCTCTCCCTCTCTCTCCCTTTCAACTTCAATTCCTTTCTCTTTCCTCCTCTCTTTGCTTTCCCTTCCGCGTTCTCGGCTTGTGCGGCCGGTCGTCGCGTCTCTTCCACACAGCGGTGCGTCAAGGAACGAAAGAATTGTCAACAAACACGCACACGCACACGCACACACGATAAAAGAGAGAAACGCAAGAGCGCGAGACGGAGGGTGGTACGGCGAGGGAACGTAAGGGAGGCGTAACATAACTCAACTACGTATAGGAGGCAGTGGTGCGTTACTTTGGGGTAATATTTATAATTGATGTCTTTTCTCGCACACGCTGCAGCGGCTTTATCGCGTCGTTCTCGTCGCGAGAATAATAGAGAGGGTCCAACCTGCGGAGTCAAGGGACCCCCTCTGTTGCGCGCGCACACATTCGTCGAAGCAACTAACAACGGATCCTCCACTCCGCTCCTTCCCTCTATCCGTACCCCCTTTCTCTTGTAAAGTTTTTCTCTCTAATTCGCTTCCTGTAAACCTCCTGCTCTTCTCCTGCGAGCGACCGACGACCACGGGGAGACGACGAGCGCGAGAAGATGAAGACGACGTCGTCGTCGTCGTTATCGTCGGCCTGCTCATAATGACAATAGTAGTAGTAGTAGTAGTAGTAGCAGCAGTAGTAGTAGTAATAGTAGTAGTAGTAATAGTAGTAGTAGTAGGCGTCGCTAATGACGACGCGGCGGCGTCGTCTCTAAACGGCAGTCTCGGTGTGACTGTGACTCGAGAGCCTCTCGACGTCGATTTCCGGTATGGTGAGCTCGTCCGGTATGTTGTCGGCGTACTCGATGCTGCTCGTCTGCGAGAGTCGCTTGCTCAAGGACGACTGCTTCCTCAGTACCTCCGCCAGGGTGGTGCTGCTATGCTCGCCGTAGCGCGTGTCTAGGCCCTGCCGAAATGCGTTCACTACGCGGATCTGCAAATTGGAAAGCCGGTAACGGTCAGATCAGTCTGGTCTAGATCGGGGGCCGATCGGCGACGCCGATCAACGGGATCGTCGCCGATGTGCGAGCGAGGTAAATGACAGGCACACGCAACAGCAAGTTGCAGGCTGCCGGCACACGCACTCGAAATAGAGATAGGAAAAAAAAATGGTCAGGCTCAGAGATTCATAACGCCGTCAAAATATTGCGTATATATGTATGTAAAGTGATTATGTATTTTGATGAAAAATTATAGGTATCTTACAACATTTTTATGGCATGTCTACTGTCATGCAAATTCATATATTTATCAAAGTTTAATTGCAAGTTTGATTTATGGCTAATTTTTTTAATTTTTCTTTCATTCATGACGAATGTGCAAGAATAATTAAGGTTTGCAAAATGTCTGTTTGGTTTAAATATATATTTTTATATCTTGAGGATGTTTTTTTATAATTCCTATTATTTTACAAAATAGATAGTCACTTTTTAAAAGTATCCCATGTATGTCTACATACATACGCACATTGAAGATTCCGCACAAATGCGGAAAATGGTCCGCAAAACTGACCTTTATGCTTTACGAGCGTGTTCCTTTTTTCCGTTAGTTTTGCAAAGTCGATCTTTCCCAAGAAAGATTTTATATTTTATTTAAAAAATTTAATATCTTCGCATTAATTGAAATGAAAACTCCGATATTAGCAACACTCCGTTTTGTAATATTTTAAAGATTTTTTTTCAGACGGAATCGGAAAGGCCGACTCCTAATCGGTCGAGGAAGCTTTCGTTAAAGGATAACGCGCCAGTCTTGTGGGACACCCTAGACAGATATTAATATGTATAGCAACGACGGGGGAATGGAATCGGAGGGTGAATCGCACATGGAAAAAAAAAAGATTCTCGCTTCTTAATTCCAACTTTTCCAATTTTGTCGAACGCTTATTTATTTCGACAAATCTCTTTTATTATCCGATTCACCTTAAGACCCCCATTCGCTTTGCATTCCCGTCATTTGAGATACGTAAACAAGACAGAAAGCAGCGATGCCATAAGATATTACAGAACTAGCGGGGTTTGGCTCACCCTGCGGAACAAGGCATTATTAGAACACAGAGTTCGGAGCAGCTGCGTCGGTAGGGATAGGAGAGAGTGGCTTGTGAGTTGCATGTAAAAATCTTTACGATACTTCGATATACTTACTTCAAGATAGAGAGAAAGAGAGAGAAAGAAAGAGAGAGTGAGAGAACGATCTTTGCGATTCTCCGAAATCGTGTGCGAAAGACGCTAAAGTTTGGAGTACTTAACACATTGAGGACGGCGATTTTAATTAAGATGCGTTTCTTGTATCGAACACAAAATAAAATTCGCTCGAATAACAGCTTGTTGAATTTTGCAAAAGTATCATCTCTTTTTGCACGAATATCTTCAAAGATATAATGATAAGATAAGATGAAGAAAACGAAACATATGCATGTCTTTATGTACTTAATGTGTATTCTTGGTGTAACTTTTTGCAGGAGATACAAGTATGTTGCTTTGTTCTAATTCAAATCGCCATCTCGTTTTAGGTGTATTTCTCGGATATATATCCGAAAGAATATATAAATTTGTGCCCAGTCCGCAAAGTGTTAAGCTTGCAAAATGCTGTTTATCACTCTCCTAGTATCAACTTTGATAATTCGAGGCATCCTGTATAGAAAGGAAGGAGGGGTGAGCTTAGCAAACGTGGGAATCACTAAAAGTCGATTTGTTCTTGGCGAGAACCTGACCCACCCACAATTGTCGAGTAATTAAATTTAGAAACAGGGTTCTTTTATTATCAACCCTGATCACGAATACATAATTACTACAGTTATTACAATTTAATATAAATGTATACAATGTTTTTGAATTTAATTATTCAACAAGAAGCTTGAAGATATAGCATTTAATATTTCATTTTAATAAAAATAGGATACATATTTTAAAAAATGACGCTTATATAATTTTTGCCCATCATTTATAGTACCTTGTGTGAATCCATGTTACGGTTTTCGCCAAGAAAAAATCGACTTTGAACTGGTTAAAAAATGCATTCTGCTGCCGATTACCACTTTTGCAAACTCGTCCCGATGTTCGTCGATCGCTTCTAATCGAGTACCTCGCAATTACGCAGGTAAACGAAAGCGGCCTGCAAAGAAAGATGTACCGACGTCGCCGCTCTGCAACTATGCTTGCAACTTGTCGCGCAACATCACATGCACCCATCGACACTATATTCATCATGGAAAGATCAGAAAGAAAAAAAAATATCGAAAAAAAAAGATATCCACATCTTCTATCTCTGCGTGTTGTCAACGGCTTGAAGAACGAAGCTGCTGGCTAGTCAAAGTTTCGAAACGAATAAGAAAAAGGATAAAAAAACGAACGCGTCCTGTTCGATTATCGCGAACGCGATAAATCGCCAAGCTAAGTCATATGGTTCGTATACATGCGCGACCAATGATTTGCTGATTGAACGAATCGATCACGTTAATCAAACGTCATGAGCGTATACATCCGCGTATCCGGCGACGAGTTTCCATTCGACACGACTTCCTTCATATTTATGGAAAAAATAATCAAAATTTATTTCGCATATTTTCGCGAAAAATAATTATAATTCGAGAAAAAAAATGTGAATTAAATCGAAACGAGAGATGATCTAATCTACGTGTTATTTGCAAAATTGACTATCTCTATCATTCAAAATTGAAATTTTAAATCTCGAAATATCAAATTTCGATTTATTAGCGAAAGTTGGAAATTTTCAAGAAATAAATTTGTATCCATTTTTTATATGACTGTCAAAATATAAGAGCTAAATGTCACTTGAAGGAAGTCTTGGCGAGACTGGTCGCTGATGCCGAAGAACGCGGGACGAATCGACGCGCGACATTTATGTAATCATACAGAGTGCGCATTTTCTGTTTCTCTCGTAGCGTCGGAGAAGCCTTAATCGATCGAATAAAAAAGATAAGAAAAGAGTGAGAGAGTAGAAAGCGTATATAGAGATAGAACAGATAGACAGACAGACAAACAGACGCGTTTAGAAAAAGCAAGAGGAGAGGAGAGCTCGAGAGTCTGGATTACCACTTATTCAAGCAACATGATATGTAGTTTAGGGAAGCTTGTTGTATCAACTTCTTCCAGAGAGTAGCGATAGAAAGCTGCGATTCGCGTTCAGATAAGCCTTGAGAGCCTCCTCGACTCACGAGATCTGTTAGTTATCCTATTAGCGTGTCGATTAATTCGTACCGGAAAGAAGATAATCTTAATAATCTCAACGAGCTGTGCATATCTTCGATATCATAGCTACGTAAAGACGCATCTCTCGTCGCGAATAACATCGAGATTTTTGCTCCGCGAGATTATATAACTCTCGATTTCGAATAAACTATCTCGCTAGTTTCGCGCTCGATGGCTGATCAGTAACGCGCTTCCTCCACTGCCGCCCTTATCGCTCGGCTTCTCCACTCGGACGCGGCCGATCATCGGTTGGGATTTTCTACTTAAAGCTAAGGGTGCAAAAATTTTTCAGCGATTGTGAGTAAGACACGAGGGAATTTTTTATCGAGACAATGGAAGTCGAGCGTGTGACTGATCAGACAAATAATTTCGTAAAAAAATATCAATGGTCAAATGGTTAAAATCAGCGTCAATTCAACGATGATACAATAAATACCGACGATGCGAAGAGGCCAAACAGTAACGACTGCGAGAAAAAGTTGCAATCTTACCTTTTAGCTGCACCCTGTATACACATTTATTTTTGCGAATTAAGCGAGAATTCGCGAACTTAAAAGCGATAGTTTCGAGATTAAGAAATCGACAGATGTGCATCCTAAGCGATACAATAAGATGCTGCCAGACTATGACGGACGTTTCTCGTTTCTCGTTTCGATAAGGATTCGCATTCCGTTATCTAAACAAACCTCTCGAATGCCTTCGAATGTCTAAATCCCTACTCGCAAACGTATCGAGAGAATCGACGACGTTCGACTCACCGTTCGATGATCCATCCTTCGGCGGCGGTTACTTCCTATTGTCCCAAAATAGCGAAACGGAACGTTAGACACGCGAGTCTTGGGCGAAAAATCAATACAATACGTCCGAGACGCCAGAAAGAAACAGGATGCACTCTGTACGGAGTTTGGTCGTCGACGTTTCGTGTGGACGTGAGAGAGTGTAATACAGCAGACCAGGCGGGAGTCATCAGCAAAGAGGAAGATACGGCAAGCAACACGCGAGGAAAGTATCAACGTATACGTACACAATTCGCATATAATACAAAGATTAAAAAAAAAAGGTGGAAAAGAGGAGCTCTCTATAGGTATGATCAGCTGCATGCATTCGGCAGGAAATCGCGTGCCCGGCAAACGTATGTCGCTACAGTGTGCGATTCGACTACCACCTCACAGACTCCCCCGAAAAAGCCACCTTTTTACAGTTGACAGCAGGGGAAAGGGGGGGGGAGGAGCGAGGGACGAGAGAGAAAATCTCTCTCGATCGCCTCGCGAGATCTTCTTGCCGTCTTCCTTCCTTCCTTCCTTTTTCTTTCTTGCGTTCTCGAGGCTGGGACGTGCGTTCACGCACGTCTCTTCCCATCCAAGGCTAACGGGCGTGGTGTTAATTGTCGCCGGTATAACACAACATTCAAAAGAGAATACTTACGCGATGCAAGGGATGTTACCGCTTTCGCATTTCGGCGCGACGACCGTATACAGCTTACAGACCCCGAAGAATGCACGTCGAAGGGTCCCCGGGCCTTGCGCGCGCTTCTCCTTCACACGCTTAAATATGCGTGTCTGCATTCTTTTCTTTTATTCTAATTTTTTCTCTTTGCCTTTGGCACGAAACAACATGCACGCTACGTCAAGTAATACGCACTGCCGATTATCGCAATATACGGACGACTCTCTCGACGGAAAAAGGTGGTGTGTCGTATTGAGTTTCACGTAGGAAGATGTCAGGGATGGGGGATGACAGTTAAAAGGATGAGTAGAAAGAGAGAGAGAAAGAGAGCAACGAAAAGAAAGGAAAAAGAAAAAGAGGGATAGAGAAAGAAAAGAAGACGGAAGAGAATAAAGTCTTCCTGAACAATATTCGAGAAAGAATTTTATCATTTTATATCTTCCATTTATAGAATTTCTCTCAAAGGTAGGAGAAAGGTTGAAACTCTATTCAAATTGATATCTTTTGTATGTAATCGATTCAACGACAAAATATTATATGATTGTAAATTATTTATAGAAATCTCAATTTTACTTACTCAAAATATATTTGAAATAAGTAAATTCTATTTATTGCCATAAATATGAAAACACACAGGCTAATTTTTTAAATAATTTTTATCGGGAAGACTTTCATCTAAAACTTTTCTCCTCGTATCTTTCTTATCGAGAGATACTTGTACTAGACTTTTTAGTTTATATTTTATTTAGGCGATTTTGTGGCGTGTGTTACCAGAAAATCGATTGATTGATCGGCAGCGTAATGGCAAATGTGTACTGCGTTCCATCGATCTTCGTCGAGTGTCTGAAAGGTTTTTTATGGAATAAAGATGATAATATACTGTAGGGGAAAAATGAGATGAGTATGCGGAAAGAAGACGCTTCGATAAAGAAAAAAAAAAAAAGAAAAAAAATTGTACAGAATGTCGATCTCTCGTCTACTGGAGAACCACACACCGTAATTGTAATTCTACTCGCCCCGATTGTAAAATATATTGCATTATGTTCGTTACGACTTGTCAGAATTTGGATTTAACTAGTCGACCGTTGATTCAATTCAGATCGTCACGATCTATCGAATTACGTGACGATGAAGAATTCAATTCGAGAATCAGTTCTCGTTAAATCGAAATCAGAAATTGTGACTGACGTACCTCGGCGAGTTCATCTCTCGTTGTGGCGACAAAAAAAATATCATTCTCTTATTTATGAGTCTCACGTCGCGAATAAAGGCATTGAAGTCTCCCTTGCATCAACGAACTCGGCGAGAAATAACGTCACTTTGAATTTCCAATTGTAGAAAATACAAGTCTTCCGTTAATATACTGTGAAAAATAACGTGCTGTGGTGTAAAAATATCCTTCGTGCAAGCAAAGATAACCGCATTCGAGCAGATTCAATACACACAGAGATGAGAAATTAATCGCGTGGACTTGAAGTTCGAGTCAGGAACCAAGCGCCTTGCGCGACGTTTAATTTGTCGCAAGATGCACAATAAAAAGCAACGTGCAAGGCGCGCAATCTCTTGCTCAGGCATCGAAGTCACCGAAGATCGCAGCTACAATGCAAAATACGATACACATGATCGCATATCTATGAACACATATAAAGCCTGTACACTTAATTGCGGTGACAACAGTAAGCGACAATCGAAAAATGGAAGCAAATTTTTTGCACGTTATTCTTTACAAGTCTTAACGCGACAAATTCGTCTAAAAATTGCGTCGCGTCTCATGCAACATGATTGTATCTCGACTGTAATTCGTATTTGGCGTGGCAAAGAGATCTAACGGGAGAGAGAGGGAGCATTATCTCCTAATAATGCATATATAGTAAAATTAATTCGATTTTTTTTCTCTAACAGATCCATGCTGTCTTGTCCTGTCGATTTTCATTCTCTGGACCGATGCGAGCGGAGGAAATTAGAAGGATTTTGGAGTCGAGGGACAAGATGGAATCACGTGTGCCGAAAGATAAACAACAACAGGATGAATGATCGGGGATCGAAGTCGATAAACTCAATTTTCGACGATAGGAGGAATTACTTTTGTTCGTAGCAAAATAATCTAATTTCGTCGAAATGATAGAGCAACTTCGATCCCTGTCCACGATGGAGATAAATGGAAAAAATATGGATATTAGACACAGACACACGACGAATACACGATGTTTCACGTAAAATTACGATAACACAGGACACCGAATGCTGCGAAGATGGGGAAAAGTTAGAATAAAGCGGAAAGAGACGGACTTGTACCACCAGAGGGCAAATGTAATTTTGGGAGAAAAAAAAAAGTTTTATTTAACGAAATAGAAAAATCGCACACGTATATTTGTTAATCATCTTTCAAAGTGTCTTTTTTGATTCTATATTGGAAAGTATTCTTAGAGCGATTCCTGTATGAGGAATCTCTCGCGATTGGAGCGACGTCTCTTTTCAGCGAAAAAATAGCTCTCTATGTAATAATAAATAGATAATATATAGATAATTAGTGCCAATGAAAGCCTCTATAAGCAACAACGACGCAGCATATAGACTCGGGAATGACTAATCCTTGCTGCGCTTCAAGCTTGGGATGTCAAGGATTAACACAGACATATACCTTTCCTTCGTATTGACGTCGAGGGCAGGAAAGGCTGCCCGGTCCAGTAGTACAAGCCGTAATATTATCCTATTGTAGAACAGTATAAAGTAGAAAGCGGGAAGTATACGTAGACAGATAAAACAGAAAGATCATGATAGAGGGAAAGAAGAAGAAAAGAAAAAGAAGAAGAAGAGACGTTACGAAGAGTGAGCATGGATTATATTCGCAACTTGTAAGTATATCTCGCTAACAAGTACAGAAAGTGACTTACAAATTGTTCAAGTACTCCATTCTAACTCTTAGAGTGTTCTACATAAAAGAGGGAAAAGAGAAGAAGGGCAGGAGAAAAAAGAGGGGAAAGGGAGAGGAAAAGTCTTGGTGAGATGAGGATCATTAGAATAAGAAGCATGTAAAAGCGAGAAAGTTAAAAGGCAGCTGCGAGCGAGCAAACAAGCGAATGACACAGAGCGAAAAGGAAAAGATTGAGGCAACAGAGAGAAAGAAAGAGGTAGAGGTAGAAAGAAAGAAAGAAAGAAAGAAAGAGAGAGAGAGAGAGAGAGAGAGAGAAAGAGAGATAGATAGATAGATAGAGAGAAAGATAGAGCAAGAGAGAGGAGCGCTTACAGCTTGGTCTGTCGAACTCTTGCTGTAGGGTACCGGTATCAAACGTTCCTGCAACTCGCCACCTATCACCTTCAAGAGTAAAGGATAACATAATGGTTACAAGAATGGAATGATCGGATCGCGTGTAACCACTTCTTCAACCCTCAAGCGATGCACTTGTCACTTTTCACGATATGAACGTGCCATTGTTTCGAGTTGAATCAATTGATTATTGGCCGCAATGTTAGCACAGGATTAGTTATTTACTCTAACAAGAATAAATCGAATTTATATTCATGATGAGATATCTTGGCTTTCGATTGTGTAAACAATTAATCCTTGCAACATATATGGGTCGATAATTTTTTGCAGAATTTTTGTTATCGAAAATGGAAAATTCCTAATGAAGCTTTAAATATTTCATTAATTAAACTTTAAATTCTTCCGTGAACTTTAAATCTTTCTATCCAATTAGCACGTCTGAAAAATGTATGTTATTTTAATACTTAACTGGTACGTGTGTGGAATTTTATATCTAATGACTGCTTTAAAATTAAATTTCTTTGAAATCATAAATTTTATAATATTGAATTATATTTATTATATACTGCATTTTTTGTGTATTTATATAGTTTGCGATATACAATCACAAATATTATAAAATGAGAATAAATATGTAATGTATACATAGTACTATCAATTTTCAATTAAGTTACAAATAAAAATATTCGTTTATACTTCTTGTTAAAAAAGGCTAAAACTTTTAAGGTATTTCTAGGATTCTTTTTCTTTTTTAATCTAAAAATATTAATGATTTTATATATTCTATGTATTTTTCATCATTTCTTATTTTCTTACTATAATTTTCTACAATTTTCTGTACCAGTTAAGGATCAAACTAGAGTATTTTCCATGCGAAACGCGAGCTTGAGGGTTAAAGGTGACACATTCTCATTGGTTTGTCTCATTGAAAGGTTGATGTTTGCGCAAGTATTTATCAGTGTGATTGTGAGAGTAATTGGATGGTGGTGTTCGCATCTTCTTGCAGGATCAGGAACATGTCGTCTTAATGAATCGTTTCATCTTTGCTAATTTTAAAGTTCTCTCGCGAATCGCGAATTTTTTACGGGATACATAATGTAAAGAGAGTATTTGCTGAGTAAAATAGATTATGGTGAAAATGTGTATGTGATTTTTTTATTTCCTCTTTTTGTAAACCGAGCCGTGTGCTCGAATTACAATTCCGTTCGACCGGAAGCTGATTTGGAGCCGATTGCACCAATAATATGGTTTAGACATTCCATTGTAATCTTCTACAAAGTAACATTCAGGCTTTGCTCAATAATTATAATAATTGACTCGATTAAACAAATTATTAATTATTAAAAAGATTCAGGACTTTTAAACAAAAAAAATCGACCTATGAATTTTTATATTTCAAGAATATAAATATATATCTTCACACATATATAGATAGATGTCAAGAGAATTAAAACATTTTTAAAATTGCAAAAATACATTTGAAAAAAGTAACAATTATTATTTTATTTTAAAGATTTAATAGAAAATTTATTAAAGAAAATATATATATATAGTGCGTTAGTTGTGCAACATTTCGAAATTTTGCAGGGCAACCGCTAATTATAGCAAAGTCTATCTCCTGTCATATCCTAGTTTTTATTTTCTAATAAATAAGCCCTTTCAATTTTTTATTAGATATTTCATTTCTTCGTAATTTCATATAAAATTATTATTGATAAGTAGATCCGTTTATATTTGCCGAGTAATTTATGACAGACACATTGTCGAACATTTTTTGAATCCCTCGATTGCAAATTTGTTGTCATGTATATTTAAGACGATTACATTCTATATATTTAAATTTTATCGGCACATAACGATGTTTCTTTTTGATAATTATAACGTCAAATCTCAATGAATTGCATAAATTTTGCATCTTTTTGATGATATCACGAATAAAACTAATTTGAATAAAAATAGAAAATTGTGGATATCAACATGGGATTAGTTTTTAAGACCATCGGTGCAATTCGGCCTCATTGATAAGGGATAAAGAATGAGCGAGAGTGCCGTGCCAAAGTGAATCAATATACAGACAGACAAGCGCAAAGACGTAGAAAGATATACAGAGAGTCGGTATATATATATATATATAAGTCGGCGAGCAAATGGAATTACGAGAAAAGATGTGCACAAAGTTAATTGTTGCGTGGTCGTTTAAAGTGGAGAAGATGAGATCGATAATTTATTTGTCGAATATTCCATCGCGCAAGATACGTCGACTGAAATCGCAATAATCGACGTTCCGTCAAAATGCAATACGCAAAGAAAATCATTTCAGATCGATTTCTGCAAATAATCGATTTGTATCTGCTTAAAAAATATATAAATATTATATTTAATTATTCAAATAATCAAAATTATATTTGTTCTGAAAAATGATGAAAATTATAATTATTGCCATCATCGCAGATTGATTAAATTTTCAATCAACATCTTTGAATAGTACTTGTGAAGTTTTTTAAATTATTTAAACTAATTTATTTTATACAAGTCAATGAGATAGAAAAGAAATGAAAAATAATTAAGAATAGACAGATTTCCATTTGCATTGTATTTCGACAGACTTTTTAAGTTTATAGTAGAAAGCAACGAAGACATAAGAAGTTACATAATGATGATGATACCATCTCTGTCGTTGCTCATCATTATGCATTAGACACGTCAATGAGAGGCATCATCGAGAAGATCATGTGCGTATAGTAGTCATAGTGTGTGGATCAGGAGAAAATTAGTAGAGTAGAATACCTTGTTGAATTGAAAGAATAAGTGGAGATCGCTGTCGGTCAATCGAAGAATCGACTGCGACGTTTTGTTATATTTGTCTCACGTATGTCACTAGCGCGGATCAATAATATACAGGTCGCATAGATTAGAACCTGGGCTCGAATGTGATCGATAACACTAGTAAAAATATTCGTTGCACCAAGAGATTCTCTTTATCCGTATCACGCGCGATAATCAAACGATGTCCTATTTTCTAAACTAATAATCCGAAATATCATATCCGAATAATCCATCGGACGAGATTCTTCTTCTCGCAATCTATACAAATCGATCGGAATATATGTTTTCTCGATTAACGTATCTTCTAGCTGACCTGAAAGCGGTCAAGTCGGAAAAAGAAGCATGCCGAGAATGTTTTCAAACGTGTTCGAACAATCGAGTAGGAAGATCGAGAACAATAGCGTGATATGGAAAAAAAGGAGAGAGGAGGAAATCGTGATTTGATAGTCAATTCGGATCGTGTGACAGAAAGAGAGAGAGAGAGAGAGAGAGAGAGAGAGAGAGAGAGAGAGAGAGAGAGAGAGAGACAGAGAGAGAGAGAGAGATAGAGACAGAGAGAAAGATACAGACACAGAAACAGAGAAAGATTGATTCAGCAACAAGCCAAGCGTGGAAAAGATTTTGTATCGCTTTATTGACCAAGTCGATCATTGTGCAGCTTTTGTTTTGTTTTTTTTTCCCTTTTTCGTTAATTACGTAATTACGAGTCGAGAGAGAAAAAAAAGAGTTCTTGGCAGGACCGATGGCCCCTTGTCTCGCACACACGTTTTATTTTCTCTTTCCCTTCTCTTGCATTTTTTATCGCTTTCGCACTTTAAATCCCGTTCCTTTTTTTTTGTTGTCTTCCTTTCAACTTCCCTTCAATCAGCGTCGCGCAGGAGAGGCTAAAAGCGATTCGCACGATTCATCGACGCTGCGATGTACCTCGTTTGCTTTTAGGAGCGGAGGGGGTGGTAAACGATGATGAAACGAGAGAAGATAGAAAAGCGAAAGGTGGGACGGGGAAGAAAAGGGAATTATAGCGGGGAAAGACGGGGATGAGAGGGCGAACGAGCGTACAAGAGAAATCCGAAGATACCACCCTCTCCGCTGATCTCCTTGTATCGGACTTGTTATTTGATTAACGTGTCTTAAACTTTATTTTATATAATAACAATAATAATAATTAATAATAGCAATAATAATAATAATATATTCCCTATTCACATATCATTAAATCGATAGAGTCAACTATACATATTTATAATATATTATAATAAATATATATGTGTATATATATATATATATATATATATATATATATACATATATATATATATATATGCTTTTAGAGTTTTTTTTTCTCACAGTAACAGACTATTAATATTATGCGTCGATATTAAAAACCAGGATGTCTTCTCTCGTTTGCTATAAATCGCGATGCGATCTGTGTACGCATTAAAAGTTTTGACACGCGCGTACCTTTATCCCTGCGAATCGTGATTACGCACGGATTACACACTCGCGCATAAACGACGCCGTTTTCGTGAATGAGATTCTTCGTTATCGCATCGGTCAAAGGGGAATCACCGATTACCAGGATATCGGGATCCGCAAAAGATGTCGCCGGAAGTAGGGACCGACGTATCGCATTCAAAATATACGCGGATTTGCGTCGCTTTGCGGGCGCGTTTAAGCCTCGCGAGGCCTCGTATTACGCTTTTCATGAATGAACGTACGGGGTATATCGACTAATTAATACTCTAGCGAGTTTTTAATCCTCATTTTCGTTCGGCCGCGATACAAGTTTTATTTAAAGAGAAGATACGGAAAATCTTAATCGAAATAAAAATTGAAGCTTCGATGAATCTGACGATAATTTTCAAAGTAATTATATCTGCTAAAATAAAATAAAATCTGTTGTCAATAACGAAATAATTGCAACGGTTTTATATCGAAGCGCTATATAAGATTTTCGAGATTGCAACTTCAACATGAAGCAGCAATTACACGCGGCAAATTATTGAACGAGACACGTAATACGGACCTTACGTGGCTGCAAGAGCCAACATTACTCTATTCTTGATGCTACTGAAGTAATTGGGGAGTTTCAGGATTCGATTTATCACCCACGTCGTAAGGACCGTCCGCCGATGCACCGAGAAAATTGTTTTTAAAGTTCGAAAGCGAGTGAGTTTAGAAAGATTACCTCTACAATTCCACGAGTTTCGACAACTTAAATA